GTTGCCGCCAGGATGGTGTGGCAGTGCCAGTTCAGGCCTTGAGCTCAGTGTGGCTCCCCTTCCACTTTCCCCTCCGCTGTGCACAGAGGCTGGCGGGGTCCGTCGTCCTTCCCCAGACTGGCCCCATCTCCACCCTTTCCTCAGGTCAGGGGCCGGGCAAGTCACTGGCCGAAGGGTCTCTGGGTGGGTGGGCAGCAGGCGGGGTGGCAGGCCGTGGACAGAGGGCGAGAAGGCCTCTGGGGCACACCCTGGGCCACTGTGGATTGCTTGAGGACCACCCTCCCGCTTGGTTTCTCATCCCCTTCCATCCTCAGCGACCCAGACCTCTATCCTGGAGCTGAGAAGGAGCCTGAGGTCATGGAGCAGACCCAGAGGGGCTGGGGTCAAAAATGGGGGGCCTCCCCCCCACTCCCTGTGGCTCGGCCAGCAGGTACAGGCGTCCCTGCATGCGTAGAACCCACCCCAGCTCTGCAGCCCCTTGTGCAAGGCCTGTGTTCTGGAAGCACATTGGTTCAGGTTCCTTTCTGGCCTCATGGTGGCTGGGCTTCCTAGCCCCAGCCCCTCCTAGCCTGGTGGCCGTAGTCTCAGCCTGACTGGATCAGTATTGTCCACCCGCCCCTGCTCTGACTGAGGGAGCCCAAGTCCGAGCTGTTGTCACCAGAAGGGAGGGCGGCAGGAGCTGTTGTCCTTGATGATTCTGATACCACAAAGTCACCCAGCAGAGGGGCTGCTGGGGAGGGGTTGGGAGGGGGCAGAGGATGGCAGTCTGACCTGGTCTTTGTCTCCCTCCCCATAGCCCCTTCAGAGCTGCCCCTGTTGCACCTCTGCACGGCTTTGTCCCTTCTGTCCTGCGAAGCCCTTGGGCCAGCTGTCTGTGCCTCCCTGCCTCGTGGGGAGGGACCTCCAGGGCTCCTCACCCCAGGCCACCCCAGGTGGCCCCACGCAGGTATGCTGTAGGTGTATCAGGTGCCACAGTGTAGAAACCTGCCCAGGGAAGTGACAGTCCAAAGTTGTGCTGCTGTGCTGCTCTGTGAAGCAGGGAGGAGGGCTTTGGAGGGGTAGAAACAGGCTCCTGGCCAGGAGGTCAACGGGGTGGAGGGGATCAAGGGGTGAGTGCTGCAGAGGGCCTGACTTTGCCAGCTCCTGACAGGGCACGCCCTGCCTGGCTAGAGCTCTGGTGACCCCAGGGATGCCCATAGTCAGAGGGAGAGGCCACGTGCCTGCCTGCTGGGCAGGAAGCTGGGCTGGTTCCCCAGGACCTGCTGGGTCTCCTCTGGCTCTGCCACCAAGTGGCTCCTTAGCTGGTCTGGAAGGGGCTGTCTCTCAACCAGCACACTTAACACCTGCACACCTTAAAGCCTCGGGAAAGACCCCAGCCAGTCTGGGCCCGCCTGGTACTCCACTGCCATGAAGTAGAATTGCGGGGGGCTGGGAGTGGGGGCAGAACCCAAAAGTGAACTGCACAGCTCCTGAAAGTCCAGTGCAGGAAAGCCAAAAAGTAGCAGCTGACGCCAAAATCAGAATGATCAGCAGTCCGAATAGCCTGCTCACTTACCTTCTAGCGTCCCCTTTCGTACTTTCTGTATGGTGTGTACGTAACCTTATTTTTGAGAGAGGTGCAGAGCCCGATGTGGAACTCGATCCCAGTGCCATGAGATCATGACCTGAGCCAAAATTGTCAGATGCTTAATGGGCTGAGCCACCCAGGCACCCGATACACAGGAATTTTTCAGTAAAGATGGGATTGTGGTGTGTGTGTGTGTGTGTGTTTACATTTTGTAGCATTTGCACCAACAGTGCATTGCAAGCCTCACAGCGTCTGTCGGTATTCTCATGTAGGGAAATGTGTGTTACCATTTAAACAGAGTGGCAGTGAACCTTCTCGTGCATTTTTCACATAAGTGGGGAAGTCCCTCAAAGTGTAATTTGTAACAGGAAACACATGTTGGAAAGTGTATTTACAACCAGATTGTCATCCAAAAAGATTTTTGCAACTTGAATTCCCAGGAAGAGCTTGGGAGAATTGCTGCTGCCCAGGTTACGCCATTAGCTTCATTCTCTTTAGGCCTCCCCGACACTGAGTGTCTGTTCCCTTGATTGCTTGTGAAGCTGAGGTGCTATTTCTCAGGCTTAGGGTACCTCTGTATTACAGGGTATCTCTGCGTATTGCAGGGCATCTCTAGGTACTACAGGGCACCTCTGGGTATTACAGGATATCTTTGGGTATTACAGGGCACCTCTGCATATTACAGAGCACCTCTAGGTATTACAGGGCATCTCTGAGAATTACAAGGTATCTCTGGGTATTACAGGGCACCTCTGGGTGTTACAAAGTATCTCTGGGTATTACAGAGTATCTCCGTATATATTACAGGGCACCTCTGGATCTGTCAGGGTACCTCTGTATTACAGGGCACCTCTGAGAATTACAAGGTATCTCTGGGTATTACAGGGCACCTCTGGGTATTACAGGGTACCTCGGTATTACAAGGTTCTTGGGTATTACAGGCACTTCTGCATATTACCTGGCACCTCTAGGTATTACAGGCATCTCAAAATCACAAGGTATCTCTGGGCAGGCACCTCTGGGTATTGCAGAGTATCTCCATATATTACAGGGCACCTCTGGGTACTACAGGGCACCTCTGAGAATTACAAGTTATCTCTGGGTATTACAGGGCACCTCTGTGTATTACAGGGTACCTCGGTATTACAAGGCACCTCTGGGTATTACAGGACACCTCTGCATATTACAGGGCACCTCTAGGTATTACAGGGCATCTCTGAGAATTACAAGGTAT